CGCCCTCGTCCCCCGGCCACGTGCGCTGCGCCTAGGCCTGCGTGCTCCGGCCACAGCCCAGCGAGGGCCTCCACCGCCGGAACCGGGCTCGGGACCCCCGCGGGGGCCGGCCCCGACGATGCCGTGCGCTTCTCCTTGAGCCTCACCCCCGAGGCCATCCTGGTCATCCAGAGACGCCACCTGGAGAAGCAGCTGCTGGCGCGGTCTCGCAGGCCCTTTGTGTCGCCGTCACCCTTGCCCTCGGCCGACCCCAGGCGCCTGCTCGCTCCCTGCCCCCGGGCCAGGGCCACAGGTCCCCGCAGAGGTGGCGTCGACGCCGCTCCAGCCCCCGGCCCTGGCCACCACCACCCCGCGTCCCGCTCCTGCCTGGCGGCCTGCAGGTCCCTGAGCCCGGCCCGCGGCCCGGCCCGCGGCCTGCCGACCTGCACCCGGTGCTCAAGGTGTCACTGCTCAACGAGCGCCACAAGTACGACGATGTGGAGTACGAGGAGGAGCCCGACGCGCGGGATGAGGGCCTGGTGCGCAAGTGCACTGAGTGGCTGCGTGGTGTGGAGTCGGCGGCCGCCTCGCGGGACTGCTCCGGGCACCTGGACACCCTGCCGCACCTGAGCACGCTGTGAGCCGGGGCCTGGCGGCACAGGGCTGACCTGAAGCCACCTCTCCTGGGCTTGGGAACCTCAGGGCCCTGTGACCCCCCTTGCCCACCTCCTGGGTATCCGTGAGACCTGGGCACTCTCATGGGACACAGCCCCCACTTCCTGCCTCGCCTTCCTCCCACCCTGGGGTCATGCCCCACAGCCGGTCTCTCACCTCTCTCTGACCTGTCAGCCCTCACCTCTCACCGGCAGGCCTTGCCTATGCCCATAGGGTGCTTGGGGGGTGAGCTGCTGTGAAATGGCTCTCAACCTGCAGCCTCAGGGTTTGTTCATCTCAGAAACCCTCCACCCCAGCCACATCTGCACTTCCCCGCTGCTCTGCCCCTGCCGGCCACCACATGCCCTGGTCCTAGCAGCCGGTGTTGGCTGCAGGGTGCCGGTGTTCGGTGGTGCCCGCCGTGGCCTGTGGGGACCTGGGAGTGGTGCTGTTTATGATTGTTTTCCCCGAGGCAGGAAAAGGTCGAGGTGCTAGGATCTCTACCAACTGGCCTCCTGGGCATCGGGGAGTGGAAGGTGATCTCCAGGGAGCAGCCGACTCGGTGACAGCGCCGTGGAGCCGTCTGCCTGAACAGCCCAGGCACGGGCTCCAGGCGCTGCGTGCTGGGTCGGTTTGCACAGGCACCCATACTCACACTCACACACACCTTGTCACACACATTCGGTCACATGGACTCAACAGTCACAGCCTTGCACACGCACACACACTCCGTCGGTTCACACTCGTCTCCTGAAGTACAGCTGCCACGTGTCCGTGGGGGGACTAGGTGGCCGAGCGGCCCGCCTAGAGCGCTGGCCACTGCAGGCTAGCAGAGAGGCTGCACCCCAGGGTGGCCGGGAGGGGAGGAGCAGTGCCTGGGTGGGGTGAGGGCAGGTGTGCGTGTTTCGGTATTTACTCACTGTGGAAATGAGGCAGTGCAGACAGTGATTTTTAAATTCTATGTATTATGCATAAAGGATAAAACTCCCTGCCTTTTAATGCTACGGCCGTTCCCCACTAACTGGAGGCTGATTTCTAGGTAGTTCTGCCAGGCACGGGGTACGTTTAACTCTGGAAGCGGAGGGAGTGAAATGCCGTGCCCAGGAAAAGCCGGTTACAGCGGAGTGACGGATTACCTCACTTGGTGACTTGTTCTGTGAAGTCAGTAACAAGTGTAATGTTTACCTTGCTAGACTGTACTGTGTTGTCACTGTTACGTTTTAAATTGAAGCCTTACATTTTTAAAGACCCAGTTTGTATTTTTCTTGTGGAGGTCTTCGCTCTAATAACTGTCAAGTCAGAGGCGCAGGCTTCGTTAGTGGGACCGCGTCGGACTGGCGGGGCTGGGTCACCCCGACGAGTGGTGGAACAGAAGCACCGTCTGCTGGGCCACTTCCGTCTTCTGACCCATCTGGATGCAGAGAAATAGACTGACGTGCGCTGACACCAGAGAGGCAAGTGCCGGTAATTGAGGTGCCCGGCTGCTGCCGCGGTGACACGGCGACGACCTTAGAAGGCGTTCCTGGTGGCTCCCAGGTGACCCGCTTGACGAAGCACCGCTGCCTCTGCCTCTGCGTTTGTGGCCGAGTGTCTGACGTTGGTGCAGGCCTGTCCCTGTCCTCTGTCTGGATGGCCTTTCCTCACCCTGTCCTGCAGGCCCCACCCTCATCTCTGACATGGCCGTGACTCAAAGCCACGCTCACGCTCCCAGACTGCCTTTCCAGTGGCGTCCGCGTGCCTTGCTCGCCTCTTCACTAGCAGACGAGGGGCGGGTCTTCGGTCCTGGCTAGTGACCCTCAATTAAAACAAGGTTCGCAAGTGACACACCCATCGGCTCAGTGCTGTTACTGACGTTTTGAGAAGGTTTTCTAAGTCATTGTGCTACAGTTTCTTAATGTTTAAATAAAAGAGAGATTGGATCAGTGACTTGTGTTTCTTTTCGAGGAGATTACCAGAAACTTGGGGAAGACCTCACTGAAGTATTTCAGCTCTGCGTGAGAGGGTTTCTCCATGGCAGTGCTCAGCCCGGGGCTCCGGGCTTTCCAGGGGTTGGCAACTGTATTGGTCTTAGTGACTTCTAGAAATTGCGAGGCTTTTAAGAAGTCCAGTGATAATCAAGTATTACTTTAGAAAGCTGTTTGGCAACCACACTTAACCCGTAACAGGATCACAAGTCCCCGTGACAGCTGTACCTCGTGCACCCCTGAAGACATTGCGTGTATTCCAGGGAGCGGGCCCGTCCTGGAACCGCTCCTGTGTGCACACAGTAAAAGTTCTGCTTCTGCCGGAAGGAATTTCAAACCGGCAGGTCGCACTAGTCAGTAATAAAGGATTCATTTAGATAGTGGCTAGGACTGTTTTCTAGGACTAGAAAGAGGAACTATCGCTTAGTAAATGCGGTTTGTCTTCAAATATTTGAGTCCATGGAGAAGAGTGATGATTAATGATGTTGATGTCAAAGTCCCCCGTAGAGCACTGCTCCGTAGCAGCGAGTGGGAGCTCCCCCACCCTGGAGGGCGAGCCTCCGGCCTGCCTCTGCGAGAGACAGTCATCAGCTCTGGGTCAATTCAGAGGGTAGCCCTGTATGACTGAATCCATGTGTTTAGAGAGTACTTGGCACTTCCAGGCAGGGTTTTCTCAATTAGCTTATTTCTAGGAAAGGTAGAGGCTAAAGTGTCAGAACCTTTAGGTTTAGGCTTTCCCCAGAGAGTGCAGAATGATTGGGTCATCAAGGAAAGGCATGTTTTTTTTTCTGTCTCTCTGCGAACATGTGTCGTGACTTTTCAGATGACCCAGTAGCTGAGGTGGGCACTCTGGGATCTGAGCACAGTAAGCTTGCTCTGAGATCGCAGTTCGGTACATGTGTGTTGTAGCAGGCAACTTCAGCCAACTGTGGTGCGTCGTTTAAGAAAGCCCTCAAATAACAAGGTCTCTAAGGAGCAAGGGGGCACGCCTTTGTAACAGAATGCCTGACTCGGACACCCAGTGCGGAGAGGGCTGTGTCCTTTGCAGTAGGTTTAGGAACCTTGAAGGTCCGAGCATAGATTTAAAGTGTGCAGTGAATAAAGAGCACAGCAGGATCAGTAACCCAGGACAAAACAGACCACCAGGGAAGCTCAGAGTTGGTTCTTTAAAAACATTAGGTTGAGGGAACCAGCAGTTAGTGTAATGGCTGGGTCGCTGGACTCTCACGTAGTCGACCGCAGTTCGCGTCCTGGACCCGGTGGCTTAAAACTCACGCCAGGCGTGTATGCATGCGTGCCCAAGATCCTGAGAGGAGAATGGAGGAGAAGGGACTGCGGCGTGACCATCCCCTCTGGGGGGTGATTTCTCGCTTTCTGTCTCTATGTCTCTCTGTCTGTCTGGCGAGCACACACGCCCTATAGTGAAAACCTCTCCAAAAAAAAAAAAAAAAGAGAAAAACATTAGGTTGAGGGAACCAGCAGTTAGTGTAATGGCTGGGTCGCTGGACTCTCACGTAGTCGACCGCAGTTCGCGTCCTGGACCCGGTGGCTTAAAACTCACGCCAGGCGTGTATGCATGCGTGCCCAAGATCCTGAGAGGAGAATGGAGGAGAAGGGACTGCGGCGTGACCATCCCCTCTGGGGGGTGATTTCTCGCTTTCTGTCTCTATGTCTCTCTGTCTGTCTGGCGAGCACACACGCCCTATAGTGAAAACCTCTCCAAAAAAAAAAAAAAAAAAAAAAAAGAGAAAAACATTAGGTTGAGCAAGCTTCAGCAGGACAGAAAAGGTACGAATGATCAAGATCAGGAATAGAGAGATGTAACTACAGGTCCTACACATTTGAGAAAGGGCCGTCAGCCCCGGGGACAGGAAGTATGGGTCTGTGTTTGCTGAGTTATTTTAGGAGGACGCCCCTCCGGTGACCAGTCTCGTCTGCCAAGTTGTAAACGGGTGATGTGTATGTGTTGGAGGCTGCGTTTTTGGTGCAGTGTTCATCAGATTGGAGAAGGAAGACCTGCCTTCCTTTATTTTCTTCATATACACACGGCCCCTCGCACATCGTCTCCAGTTTGTTGGAAGAAATAGTTCCCTTCCGTAAATGCAGGAGCCTCCGCAGTCGGCAGGAGGCGGCGTCCTAGGTCCTGGGGCATCAGCACGCACCCCCTTCTCTCCCAGGGCTGTTTTGTCCCTCTCCTTGGCCAGGCCCGTCCTGTGGGTCAGTCCTCACAGCCTTCCCTGCCTCTTGACAGCATCCGTAAGGGGCCAAGATGAGCATGTCGGTCCCTGAGAGCTTGTATCACGCCCGGCTGGCTACGGCTCCTTGGCCACGTTTGTGGATAAAAGGGACTGTGGCCACACTGGTGGAGGGGCATCCATTCACAGCCCGTGCCCTCAGGGGCAGCTCCCCTCAGCCCGGCGCATGCCTGTGGCGGCACACCCTGTTGGCACAGGGAGGGAGCCAGCTCCACGGCCAATGCCATCCCACTGAGTCCTTGTCACACTGTCACTTTGAGGTGGAGGGACCAGCACCAGGTGGGCTGAGAGGCTCTCAGGGCCGCAGACATGCTGTTCCACTCCGCATCCCAGAGGGCAGGTCGCTGTCACCATGCGAAAGCATGGACACCTTACTCCAGGGACCTGCTTCCAAGGCTCCCTGAGGTGAAACCAGCTGTCTGGTGACAGGAGGAAGACAGGCACTGAGGGTTGCTGGAGCCCTGTGTCCAGGTGTCCTGCTTGTGGTGACGTGCGGCCGGTGTGCCAGCGTCGGGCTAGACCCCAGGTGCACTCCGCAGAGCGCTGTGGCTGGCCACGCCAGCTCTGAGCCCACGCGCCGTGCGTTCATGCCATGCACGGGCAGATGGCGCAGGCCCCGTGGCTCATGCTTTGGCACAGACCCACGGTGTGGGCCTCCCTTGCTGGAACACTGCTCCAGGGACAACAGAGCCAAAGAGCTCTGTGACAATGACTACAGTGATCCCCACTGTGCTGTCCTCGCACGCGGAGACAGTGCCTTCCACAGAGGGTGCCGTGGGAGTAACTGTGCCACGAGTGACTGCTCCGTGTCATCCCAGGGCCTGCGGAGAGGTACCCAGAGGGGTGGACATGCCAGTTAAAGGAAATTGCACAGTGGTCACTCACCCAATGTCCTATCTGCTGTACGTCATGATGGCTGTAGGTGGATGGACTGTGGGCGCCAAGACCATGGATGAAGCCCAGGGGAGGAGGTACCGCGTCTCTGCGCCCACAGAGGGCGGGCCTTTGTGGACCCAAGGTCATGCCTTCTCCGGGCAGCCCCTGGGTGGAGAGCCCGCGTCTCTGCGCTCACAGAGGGCATACCTTCGAGGGGCCGGGGTCACGCCTTCTCAGGGCAGCCCCTGGGTGGAGAGCCCAGTGTCTCTCAGCCCCGTGATGCCCACTTCTGCACAGTGGTGGGACACTTGGCAGGTCTTTAGAAAAATGTGGGGTTTTTGTTTTTGTTTTTCGCTGTAGAGTATGCGTGTCTGATGGAGAGAGAAGGAGAGAAGAGAGATCACCCCCCGGGGAGGCCACACCACGACCCCTTCTCCGTCCTCTCGGGATCTTGGCGCGCACACGCATGTGCTTGGTGTGACTCTCAAGCTGCCAGGCCAGGACGCAAACTGTTAGCCGTGTGGGAGTCCAGCGCCGTCACCGCACTGCTGGCCCCGAAGAATGTGTCTACAGGGTCACAGACGCAGCGCCAAGGCCCAGAGCTGGGCAGGTGTGACTGTGGCCTGGTCCGGAACATTTTGCTGCGTGTAGTTTTAGGTCACGCCTGCCTTATTCTGGAATTATCGGCAGGTCTGGTGGGAAGACACCTGAGGAGCTGAGTGGGAAGGCAGGTGGGCTGAGCCATGGGCCTGTTCCCTGAGTGCCACGAGGCCATTCCCTGGTGTGCCTGGCCACCTCCACCAGCAAAGCCAGACATGTGCGTGCTGTCAGTGGCCGAAGAGCGTGTTCCGCCTAAGAATGCACTACACTTTCCCAGGAAAGAAATATTAGGGAAACCCGCTTCCAACGAAATTTTACAATACACTCTCAGAAAACAGTTTGTTCCACGTACTGAACTTTGGATGTTGAACACCTAGTGATGTTCAATGTTGCTCTCCTTGAATGTTTCCTCAAGAGGAGATGCATGTGAAGAGGTGGGAAGAGTGGGGCTGGCACAGCAGAAGCAGGGAGGGTGTACGAGGAAGGAAGGGTGCCCTGGTGGGGTGGGAGGAAAGCCTGAGGACTCCCTGCCCCCTCCTCCCAGGCCACCTCTCCTCTCAGCCAACTAGACTCACAACTTCAGATGTTCTCATACTTACCCATGGGAAATGGCTTTGGACCCACATCAGTGTCACTCTGTCCTTGCCCGAACACGCTTCTAAGCATGCCTGATATCCGGGCTGTGCTCGTGGGAGACGTGTGACCCGAGCCTCCGGGCGGTTTGCTGCCGTGAGCACCCCACGGGCCTGCGGATGTCCTCAGTTGCCCTCTCCTTCTGCAGACCGGGGTTTCAGACCCTGCTGGCCTGCGAGGCACCAGCGTCCCCAGCTGTGACAGGGACCGCAGAGAATGACGCCTGCTCATGGCTGGTGCTGAAGGCTGCTATTGTTCCCAGACGTTGCTCACGGACTGCCTCTGGGCCTGCAGCCCACGGGGACACTCGGCAAACTGAGACAGAAAGTCCCGAGCGCCAGGCTTGTGCTCGGGTTAGAAGTTGCTCTCCCAGGCCGGTGGCGCTGGGGCCAGGCCTGGTGGACTACTGTCACCGGGAGCCAGTGCAGTGGCCTCGGGGCACTCACACGGCACCCGCAGAAGAGCTGCCCAGGGCACCACTGAGCACATTCACGGGGTGTGGGGAGGACCCAGGGCTTTCATCTCCAGTTGCGTTTGTGCCCTCCCGAACACACACGCACACGATTTCCGTGACCACAGATATCTGACAG